CTGCTTCATTGCTATATCTGCCTTCAGCACAAAGCTCTCTATACCATCTGAGAAGCATCACGGTTTACCATGCGTGTGCTTCCTTTCAAACATTTGTTTACTTGCAAAGCCTTTTTATTTGAAGGCTTCAGAGGCTTACGTTTCATTTTTAGACTGTTAGGATTACATAAGCTCATAAATTGGAAAGCAGCATAAGCATAAAATGGGAAAGCAGCAGATATTTTCTGGTATAGACTGGCAAAAAGTATGCAGTGATCCCACTTTTGTGCCAACTGCGCCAAAGTGTGCCAAATCAGATTTACTTGCGCCGTCCTGATAATATCAACGGAAATTGCGCCGAACCGTGCTAAAGTCGGATTTGGGATGGTCTATCACCAGCAATAGTCATGCCAGCATGTCAATACACGGGCACTTTCTTCTTGGGGCCACCAAAGTCACAATCGCGTACCTATTTTATTGTGCTAAATAAACAGCGGTCGTGCATGCATTCTAAAATCCTCGGTGCTATTTTTGGTGCCGACGCAACTCTGTTGTGCTAGTCCGTTAACGGGGAAACGCGCTCTCTGCAGGGGCTCCTGACGTATAGTCAGAACGGTAGCGTGAAACTGTGGTGGCGATTCATCGGTGGACGTCGTCTGTTCTAGGAATGCTGCTGATAGCTCGTTTGAAGAGTTGCACAGCATGTAATAAAGCAATTTCCACTAATAACTGCACATGTGCCGCCAGAATGTCTATGACGTCTGTCTGGACATCGCAATTTCATTTTCTGTGCTTCGCGTCCGCAGAAGAACACATAAATTGTGGGAACCCATTGACACCGATCCTATAATATACTTTATCCATGGATCATCATACAGGACAGCTGTTTCGTAATTCCTTCCACCAGCGCTTACATCCACGTTTATAATCGCTGTGGCAGTTAAAGCCCTTAAAGGCCCTGCCTTTTCGAACTCGAGGTTGCTAGGGTCCGAATTCAAAACTATGTGTACTTTCTTTTTAAATATTATCTCATTTATAAAAACCTACCTCCTGGTCGGAGCAGCCGCAATACGGTTTTAATACGCATAGTTGTAGTGAGGCCATCGCTGGCGGCTCTGGCGTCGGAAAGCTCACTGTGAAGCGGCTACGCTTTGTTACACGTCCGCCTCTCACTTTCCAGGGTCAATGGCTGACCGTTGAAAAAAAAATGAACATCATGGTATTGCATTTATTACTTTGTTTTGAAGGGAGGGGAGGCTGCTGCATCAGCGGAGGTAGCTGGCGCGCGCTATCTCGAGGCATAATGAGACTGCCCATGAACTTTCTTTGCTACTAACGTCTGCTTTGCGTATAAATAATGGACAGCACGAAAACTGGAATGATCATTGTCCCTTTAGCCAGCGTTTTTTTTAGTTACGCGATATCGGCAATATCAGATCTCAAAGATACAATTTGTTAGTTTCACTCATATTCTTAGCAATGAATCTGATACCAATAAATTATATTGTTATACCAAATAATAAGGCTTGACATCATCCGTGAGAAGCGCTAGCGGCAGGGCTGCAATTTCGAAGGTACGCGCACTCGAAAAAACTTGCTGCCTGCGCAATGTTCGATATACGTGACTTGGGTGACTAGAGGCCCCCAAAACATCTCTTGCATGCCGATGATGCTTGTACAGATGGAATCAGACGCGCAATGTTCGATATCTGGGACTTGGGTGACTAGAGACTTCCGAAATATCTCTTGCACGCCGATGCCCGTACAGATGGAATCAGATGCGCAGTGTTCGATATCCGCGACTTGGATGACCCCTGAAACATCTCTTGCACGCTGATGCCCGTACAGATCGAATCAGATTTGTTTAGAGCGCCCAGCCGACCGCTCTAGCTGACATTTTCTTCAGAAATATGTAAAGAGAGACACCATAATACTACCAAACATGGTCATACTGCATTTTAGACCCTTGTGCTGTAATGTAAGCATCAACGGTAGCTTGTAGCTAGCGTGAGATAGAAGCCGCGGCCAACAACAGTGTGGACAGGCACACGCTCCGCTGCTCTAGGCCAGTGTGACTCTGTCCAGCATGAATGGCACGTACGAATGGACCTCCGAAATGGCGCGACGAAATGGCCGTGCGATCAAAGGTCAGTGCCGCTCTAGAAAGTGAAGCACTTTTCACACAGTCTGTTTGCGTATAGAGTATAAGGTAGAAGGGTTCACCAGCCGTAAATAGTACGTGCGCCAGCGATCACGCCCTTAACGTCGAAGTTTATAATACCCAATAAACAATTGTATCGGGCCAGTTGGTAAGGATCCATCTTGCTATGAAGCGCAGCCACTATAACAAAGAACACACAACACAAGCGCTTAACTTCAACTAAACGTTTATTACAAACGTCAGAGTATATAAAGGGGAAGAAAAGAGAAAAAGAGAAAAGTGAATAAAAAAGATAAAAATGGTAGACAACAAAAAACACACGTGCCAGTCCCGTACATCGCTATCCGTTATTGTCTATCACCCCATCCAAAAAACATAGTTCTTTCCGCGTGAGCGAGATAGAGGGTGCACTAACACAATCAAAATCATTGCGTGTCATTTCAGCCGCTTCTACTATCAAACGGGTTAACAAGTCTCTGTCTCGATACAGCACGCACGTGTTATCAATATAAGGCACACAACCGCACTCCTTACAGGGGATCGCCAAGTGACCATCAGTACCCTTCTGCACTTTATTGTGGTGCTCCTTTAGCCTTTCATTGATGCATCTTTCGGTTGTTCCCACATAAACAAGACCACATGACAAGGGAACTCTGTAAACAACAGACTGTGCACACTCAACAAATTTATTGCGATGCTTAATTTACCCCCCCTCCCCCCATGTTTATTTTACACGAGCGGCACGTTCCTCTCTGCTTGACTAATAATCGACGGTAGGCTTAGCACGTGAGGTGATGTTACCACAACCGGCCTCAGTGCAAAGGAGACAGGTTGGTTCTTATCTCTGCTTTAGCCGCGTTCGTCGCCATCATTTGCGCGCTTTCACCCGCGTGTAGAATACGATGCACTGGGGGATGTTATCGATTGGGACATTACACATAACATGACGGCTAGTGGCGTAGCCGGGGAGGGGGGGCACATCGGGAATGTGCTTCCTTCTTTAGATCTGTTTTTGTCATGGCATATATAGCGCAAAATGACCTTTTGCCTGCCCCCACCCCATCTTTGAGACCAAGGTGCAAGCCTCCTAATTTTTAAATTTTTGCCTAAACCCCTTGCAACGTCAAAAACCAGTCGCGAATGTTCATACAATTGCTATCCCATTGAAAACTAAATGAACCTTGCCTTCGAGTTATCTTAGAGATATGCATAAGGTACCCAGTTAGATTTTTTTATGCACTGCTTTCTAGAGGACATGGTAGGGAGTTTTTAGAGCATAGACACAACGCCTTAGCCACATAAACTATTGCTGCAAAAGTAAATTGAAGTTTGTGGAGTTGTGTAGTTTCAGCACAGAGATGAGTGTCGTAAGAGGTTGGCTTTCTGAAACTAGCTGAATGATGTCATATTACGCCCAGCAGTCTAATTAGTTGTGAAGAAAAAGAACCTTTTTTTTATTCTTGCTTAGAAAAATGCACTAGGGACTGTGCGAGTCTCTAGCATTGTATATCACAGCATTTGTCTACCATATCTGCTGATAGCCACATAGGTGTATTTATATTATTTAATGAAGTACAATTTTATTCAACCAGTATTATGTTTATTTGGAATGGAAAGAATCACTGAACAAGTTTTTCCAGAATGCTCAACAGCATGACGCCATTATTCTCGCATCATCAACTGAAATAGGGAGTGCTTCTAAGATGATCGGTTCTATAAAATTTACAATGAATCAAAATATTCCTAGCTCTTCACAAGAGCATCAGAATAGTTTTTCTTCCCCTTTAATGTAAACGCAACTTGCTTCTCCTGCGCCGCCACGGTGGTCTAGTGGCTAAGGTGCTCGGCTGCTGACCCGCAGGTCGCGGGATCGATTCCCAGCTGGGGCGGCTGCATTTTCGATGGCGGCGAAAAGGCTGTAGGCCCGTGTGCTCAAATTTGGGTGCACGTTAAAGAACCCCAGGTGGTCAAAATTTCCGGAGCCCTCTACTACGGTGTCTCTCATTATCATGTGGTGGCTTTGGTGCATTAAGCCCCACATATCAATCAATCAATCAATCAATCAATCAAACTTGCTTCCCCTCCAGGATTTGAAGTTAGCTGCTCCAGATTGCTCCAAAATGGAAACTTTTGCTGCTTTAAAGTGCTCCAAAATGAAAATATCGCTGCTCCGAAAATTGCTCCAAATCAGAAGACCTCGGTGTCTTCACTGAGTATGAATTAACCTAATGATAGAGTTTGAATTAAGAGACTTTTAAATACATTGAAAGAATAAAGGGCCAACCAAAAAATTGAATTTTGTTGAATTACCTGAAAGTATAAATTATAAGAATTTGAATTATCGCGAGTCTACTGTACTCGAAAAATCTTCCCGGTAGAAATATTCGACGAACACTCAAGGAATATTCTATTTGATTCATACTAACTCTTCAATATTGGAATTCATTTCCCACATAGAATTTTTCTATTCTCAAAGCTCTAGTTTAATTTCAGCATTTTATCATGAACCAATTTGTGCAGATCCTTCCTTGTGAGCGTAATTATGTAAATACTTTGGTGGAATAACATGAACAAGAATGCAGTGTATTATGAACTTCAAAGACGGGGTACCAGTGAATACTCCTAAACATCTATGCAAGAAGAGGGTGGTACACACGGATGAACACTGGCACCTGCGTGTTTGTCCATGCGTTCATCCGTGTCTTTTTGTGTGTGTGTTTGAGTCGTGTGCACTGTCACCCCCTTCTTTGAAGTTCATGATGCACTAAGTGGTCGAAGAGCTATCGCACATGCAGCGTACTTAGCTGTTCTTTTTATGCAGCATTTATGTGACTTTTGTGCATACCTGATTGCTTTGCAGGGTACGCTCATCAGAGTCTTCGACACTGCCTCGGGGAACCTGGTGAATGAGCTGCGTCGTGGTGCTAACACAGCCAGCATCTACTGGTGAGACCTTCTGACTGAGTCCAGCCTGTTTTATGATGCTCAGGCATTCCTCCCTACTGTGACACCTCGTGCAGCAGACACATCTTGCACGCGCATCAGATTGCTGTTCGTGTATCACTGTCTTGAGGCAAATTGGTGAGGAGCATAGAAAAAGTTTTGAGGCCTTTGCTTTAACTCAACTGCTAAGAGCTTGCCACATGGGGAGAACAGCACTTGAAAGGGGACACTAAAGGGAAATATTAAAAAGACACTAAAGGTAAATAACAATTTATGTCAGAGTGAAAGCACAATGTATGCATCTAAAACAGCCATGTTATGAATAGCAGTGCCTTACTTTCCCGAAAAATTAGGCTAATAAATGTACCACACGATGGGCCACATGAGTGGGGTATCTTGGAAATTATCCCGATGGCATGAGAGTGTCCCACAACAATTAATCATTAGTAATCAAACTAGCTGCCATAAAAAAGGAACCTTCTGTGCATCAAGTGATATAATAGAATGCCGCTTCTCCATTTCTGTTCGATCAAAAAAAAAACGCCTGCTGTTACTACGGCACACCTGCCAAATCTCCCGGATTGGCAGGGATACTCCCGAATTTCAACTAATTCTTCCGTTTGTACGGTTGTCATGAGAATCTTCCGGAAATTCATATTTCTGTGCGTGATCTGGCCGAATTGACAAAAAAGCAGCTCAATCCGCTCCACGCTTTTCGAACCAACCCTGTTTTATTTTAAATGAATTTGAGAGTCCTTCATCTAAACGTACAGTAGAATCTCAGTGATGCAAAACTGCGGCAGATACGAAACCACGGTCGTTCTTGACACAATCATGTATGGCGACGATGTAACTGGCAGAACGCCAAAAGTGTGCGCGCATTGAGCCACTCAGTCAGTCAAGGCAATGCTGCTTTCCGCACACTCTGCGGACAAAACCCCAGCCACAATGACACGATAGCTATCTACGAGCTCCGAGGGCACGCGGCTAACACAGCATTAGATTAAAGGCAGTAAATACGTAAAAAAAAGGACGCGTTTTGGCGTTCCTGTCAAAAGAATCGATTAGTGAGCAAAGCTTTGACCCGCGCTTTTGTGGCAGCCAGCTGCGCCGTCTCGTCTATTCACCTGTGTCCCAGAAAGACATACGTGAGTGAGTTGTTTTGACGGATGTAGTGGAGCATACGCACCAACGCGTATGCGCCTTCGGAAGACAACGAAAAGCCCGTGCTCTGCTTGCGCGAGAGTTTGTGCCGCCTTTGCCAGACTTGCCGTACGCCCACTTTCCGTTGCGACCTTGTTGCGACTTCTTGGCTCGAATAAACGTCATCACATTTGGTGGAGGTGCTGGGTACTGCACCTCCACCATACAGGACAGCTGTATGCTCTTACTTTGCTCTTACTTTCGTCGCTTCGTGCGCAACTTCGCGTCCATCATTGCACCTCTGACTAGTCTGCTTTCCAACAGCAAAGGTATATCTGCATGGTCACCTGCATGTGACGACGCATTTCACCAGCTGCGCCGCCTGCTGACCTCGCCACCTATTCTTCGGCACTACGACCCCACTGCTGCCACAGAAGTTCACACTGATGCAAGCGGCGTTGGTCTTGGCGCAGTTTTGGCACAACGGAAAGGCACCCAAACCGAATACGAATTACTCCGTGACAGAGGAGGAGTGTTTGGCCATAATCTGTGCGCTTACGAAGTTTCGCCCGTACCTTTACGGCCGTCCTTTCGACGTGGTCACAGACCACCACGCTCTATGTTGGCTGTCCACCTTGAAAGACCCGTCCGGACGTCTGGGGCGTTGGGCACTTCGATTGCAGGAATACGACATCCGTGTCGTATATCGTTCCGGTCGCAAGCATGCGGACGCCGATGCACTTTCCCGATCGCCATTAACACCAGATGTGGCTTCTCTGTCACCCCCTTTTACCACCTTGTCACCACTCGACACCACTGACATGCTTTCGGAGCAGCGTAAAGACCCATACCTTGCCTTGTTAGTCGACTACCTTACCGATCCGTCTTCTGTCCCTTCCACGAGAGCGCTACGCCGGCAAGCAGCCCACTTTTGCTTACGTGACAACATTCTGTACCGCCGCAACTACATGCCTGGTGGTCGGAAGTGGCTCCTTGCTGTCCCAACTCATATGCGCTCTGACATCTGCATGAATTTCCATGCAGATCACCAAAGTGCTCACGCAGGTGTCCTGAAAACCTACGAAAGGCTGCGCCAACGCTATTACTGGCGAGGAATGTATCGCTTTGTGCAGAAATACGTTCAGTCTTGCACCACTTGCCAACAGAACAAGACACCTCCGCGGCACCTTACTGGCATGTTACAGCCGCCCCCGTGCCCGGCTCGCCCATTCGACCGCGTGGGTATAGACCTCTATGGCCCCCTCCCATATAGTACCGTAATTACTCGAATCTAACGCGCACCTTTTTTCCGGTTAAGCGAGTTCATAAATCGCATGCGCGTTAGAATCGAGTACGAACAAAAAAATTACGGTCAATCTATTGCCATCGGCAAATCCAAAATGGCCACCCCCTACGTGCGTCGGCATGGCGCGTCGGCCATTTCTGCCTATGTGTTTCCCATGTGCGGCACTTCGTACGTGTGCCGAGGAGTTCGTCATCTAGTAGTGCATTAGCATCGACGGCGTGGAAGGGCCGACTCCAAAAACTCGAGTGCACCACGATGCCGCTTTAAAAAGAAAAGTCATCGCGTGTGCAGAAACGGGCGGAAATAGGGCCGCATCGCGGTCGTTCGGAGTTCCCGAAACATGCGTGCGGGACCGGCGGAAACAAAAGCAGAAGATTGTCGACAGCAAAGCTTCACGCAAAGGCTTCAGTGGACCACAGCAGGGTCGGTTTCCGCAAATTACAGAGCTGCTCGGCGAGTATGTGCTTGAGCAGCGAGCGGCACAGCGGCCCGTGACGACAGAACTGCTCGAAGTGTGGGCTATGCAATTAGTCTTAGAAAAAGGTCTAATGCGGAGCCAGTTTAAAGCGAGCAGGTGATGGCTAACTAACTTTATGAAGAGGAAAGGCTTTTCCCTCCGAAGGGGAACATGCATATGCGAAAAGTTTTGCGGAAGAGTACGATGAAAAGCTTTACAGTTTTCAGAGGCTCGTCCTAAACTTGCGGCGCAACAACGGCTACCTGCTTGGGCAAATCGGGAATGCCGATCAGACGCCTCTTTACTTCGACATGCCTGGCACCACAACCGTCGAGAAGAAGGGGGCGAAGCAAGTTCGCGTGCTGACATCGGTCCACGGTAAAACTACAGTGACGGCAATGCTCTGTTACACGTCAGATGGGCACAATCTTCGCCCGTACCTCATATTTAAATGGAAGACGCTCCCGAAAGGAGTCGTTTTTTTGAGTGGTGTGATCGTGCGGGCCAGCGAGAAAAATGGGTGCGCGTTGCAATCGATGTCTTACGTTTTTTTTTTTTTTCGCGGTGGAAATCGGGTGCGCGTTACAATCGAGGGCGCGGTAGAATCGAGTAAAGCTCTGGAAACCGGTGGATTATTGTCGGAGTCGATCATCTGACACGCTACGCTGAGACTGCAGCTCTACCGGCAGCGACCGCCCACGAAGTTGCACTCTTCATTCTCCGCAGCTTCATTCTACGCCATGGTGCTCCGCAGGAATTACTCAGTGATAGGGGTCGAGTGTTCCTGTCGGAGGTCATCCAAGCTATCCTCGCTGAATGCAACATTATCCACCGGAAATCTACCGCATACCATCCACAGACAAATAGTCTTACTGAGCGGTTCAACTGCACACTTGGCCACATGCTGAGGATGTACACCTCCTCCGACCACACTAACTGGGACGCTGTATTGCCCTTTGTTACCTTCGCTTATAACACCGCGACGCAAGCGACTACCGGTTTTTCCCCGTTCTTTCTATTGTACGGCCGCGAACCTTCCCACCCACTCGACACAATACTACCGTACCGCCCTGATGCATCTGAGTGCTCCCCGCTTTCAGAAGTCGCCAGATACGCTGAAGACTGCCGTCAGTTGGCTCGGTCTCTGACAAGTGAGGCTCAAGGTCTACAAAAGACTCGACACGACGACGCTCACCGCATAGCTCCTACATTTCGTGCTGGCTCCCTTGTGTGGCTTTGGGTGCCCCCGCACGTTCCTGGCCTGTCTTCTAAACTTCTGGCCCGGTACCATGGTCCGTACCGTGTCATTGACGCGACCTACCCGGTGAATTACGTCATCGAGCCATTAACACAATCACCAGATTTGCGCCGTCGAGGACGCGAGACCGTACACGTCGACCGTCTCAAGCCCTACTACTACGACCCCCTCATTGTGCCTACTCCCTGAGTCGCCAGGATGGCTACCCTTCACCCCGGGGGTATTGTAGTGGAGCATACGCACCAACGCGTATGCGCCTTCGGAAGACAACGAAAAGCCCGTGCTCTGCTTGCGCGAGAGTTTGTGCCGTCTTTGCCAGACTTGCCGTACGCCCACTTTCCGTTGCGACCTCGTTGCGACTTCTCGGCTCGAATAAACGTCATCACAGGAAATAAGTTCCGCTAGTTGTGTGGATGCTTCTAGACTCACTCATCCCCCCCCCCCCCCCCCCCCATTGCGGAAATCTCGTGGATTCAGAATCCTTGAACTTGGTAGGTATGCTGCAGGGAATGGCGCGAGTAGTTCACAATATTGCGTTTTCACCTGGTTAGGCTGGATAGGTGGTGCCATCTAGCGGCGCCCAGTTGTACCAAGCAAGTATAACCATGGCCTCCGACATGGCTGTAAATTGTTAAATGGCCATTGTTGCTGCTGTGCTCCCACTAATTTCGCTCTGTTGCTAGTAGTGTCGACGGCTGTGCAAAGCCGGGTAACATTGTGCACGGCAACAGTGACATGGGACGAACCACTTTCTGGTGGGGGATTGCTTGGCGCAGAAGTAGCACTGCGACCTTCCTGGACCACTATTTCAGCAATCAACATCAGCTTGATATTCGCTT